TTTGGTTTGTGTTTACTTTTTTATTTGAAATAGGGGATTAAGAACTATGACATAATTACGTATACAAACAAAAATGGTAATGTTTTATTTATTTCTGTATAGGTAATTGTACTGTACGCTTATTTATTTACGATTTTTCTTATTCAACTGTACCCATATATCCCCAAGCGGTCGCCGGTGACCGCTTTCCACTATTATAGACCTTATTTCAAATGTTTAGAGACTACTTTTGTATGATCAAATTTAGGGGATGATTTTCAACCGGTTAATTCATCATTTCATGCTTTCATTATAAATTGCATGACCAACATCTGAACTACTTAAGACTCAATATTCTTAACTTCCATCATCACATTCCAAAACACAGAACCACATCCCGTACAAAAATCCCGCGTCCCGCGAAAACAAGCACATTTCCCATCACTGCGCGCAGTTTTCAATTTAAATTGGACAATGGTCAGCTGAAATCCCGGCGCCCCATTCAAGTCATTGTCCTCTCTATATCGATATTATATCGTCACATCATTGTGCAGTGTCGTATCTCTAATAATGGACTTGTAATCATTGAGAGTTTAAATAAAATTGGACTTGATTGTGGGTCGGAGAGAAGAAAGAAGATATTTTCGGTTCACAATATGATTTTGGGGACTATACTTAATCTGATTGTCTATCATGGTCAACAATCTGTGATAGTTCATATAACATACATACACATACATAACATCACGCATTTTATCCCCGAAGGGGTAGGCAGAGGTACATACATATTATGGCACTTAATGCCACTGTACAATGTAACAATGTAAAATTCACTATTTATTTTATGAGTTCCTCTTAACCTTTTGCCATATACCGGGCACATTTCCAGCCTCAATGCTTATGCTTAAAAATCCAGTAATACTTTGCCCGTCCCGGGAATCGAAACCGAGACTCCTTGCCCGGCAGGCACTCGGGTAACGAGGCAGTGACAGTTTTCTGCTGGAGTATTAGCTTCCTCTACATTATACGAAAGTTTGTCATAATCCCAAGTTAAGATTGGTAGTCCAGTTAAAAAGTATCTTACGAAACCAGTATGAAATAACTTTCAAAGGCATAAGGTAGGCAAAAACACTTTAGACTATTTTAACATATTAAAAAAAAAACACTGCCTCGTTGGCCGAGTTGTCGCAAGTGCGACTGCCAGGCAAGGGGTCTCGGGTTCGATTCCCGGGTCGGGCAAAGTATTAATGGGTTTTTTAAAAATCTCAGTAGTAGCACGGAGTCTGGAAATGTGCCCGGTATATGGCAATAGGCTCACCCCCTATTACATGGGACTCATAACATAAATAGTGAAAAGTGGGTGTTACTTCTATGTGCACCTCTGCCTACCCCTTAGGGGATAAAAGGAGTGATGTTATGTTATGTGTTAAAAAAAACATTAATTCTACCGCATGACTGTATTGGTTAAATCTGTGGCGGAAATCTACTGAATGGATTTTCTAACAAGTTGTAACTAGTTTTGAATGATTCATGTATTCATGATGCGTATAGGTATGTCTGAAGTGAGCCTGTACTAGATTTGGTGATTCATGAAAGATTTTGGGAATTGTAGGTGTGTAATTTCATTAGGTATGTTTTTTTTGTGAAATTTAGAGCTGATAAGCATCAAGTTAGGTCATTACTGTTAGGTATGTTATTTTTATTTACGATCAATTTCATTTTGATAGTATGTACTAAAATTTTAAAATATTCATACTATAGAAAACGTACTTGATAATTGCCGTTGGTAGGTTTCGAACCCGCACTCCAGCATTCTCATGCATGAGAAGCGGTTGTCTTAAACTTCTGGGCTACCACGACTAACATAACCATTTTTTATGGAATAAGCCAGTAAACGAGCTGACGGATCACCCGATGGTAAGCAATCGGCGTCGCCCATGGACACCTGGAACACCAGAGGCGTTACAAGTGCGTTACCGGCGTTTCGGGGGGTAAGGAATTTAAAGATTGTTATGGATTTAGGTATTAGGGAGACTGGGAAAGGCGGAGGGTCGGTATTGGGCCTCCGGTAACCTCACTTACACGACGAAACACAACGCACGCGTTGTTTCACGTTGGTTTTCTATGAGGCCATGGTATCACTCTGTTTAACCCAGTTCATTCGTGCCGAAGCATGCCTCTCCGACACAATAATCCTATCCAACCGAAACATAAACAGCTGTTAAATAATACGGCCATTATATTTAACTAAGCTCAAATTAACTGGTACAGTTAACTGGCAGAGCTGTTTAACATTGGTTAACCGCAAATGATGAGCAGTTAACTTGACTGTGTTGTTAACTTTAAATAATTAGTGTTAAGTCGCTTTTAACTTGTTATTTATAATTGCTGTCCTACTTGTATTTGTTGTGGGGGCGTGAATAAGAGGTTATTGGAATATTAACAAGTTTGTTGTTTCTTGAAGGTGCAAGTATAGTTAGAGGTAGTTGCGTCTCTATTTATGTTGTTTTTTTTTTATGGATTAAGAGGCAAACGAGCAGACAGATCACCCGATGGTAATCGATCGACGCCTGCAACACCAATGCAATCACAGGTGCGTTGCCGACCTTTTAAAAAGGAATATGCTCTTTTCTTGGAGACTTAAAGGTCGTATCGGTTTGGAAATACCGCCGACGACAGATCACTTCACAGTTTTGCTGTGCGAGATTTATGAGTTGCATGGTCATTGGGTGATTTTGATGAATGATTTTGACGCGATTTGTATTGAATTATATTTGGATATCAATTGCTTGGTCGGATAGTCAATCGATCTGAAAATTTTAGTTTACTTTTATATTTTCTCTTTGAGATTCTATTTTTAATTATATATTAATATTAAAGCCTGTAGATATTTCGGACAAACCGTGAATTAAAAAACGAAACTTAACTTCGTTTACATTACCCAACTCAGACATAAAACCCAAACCTTAACAATCGCTAGCAATCAGAGAAATAATTCTACAATTAAACATAACGACAACTAGACACATAAAACAACGAACAATATTAATAATAACACACATACACATATAACATAAATCACGGAAAATCGTTTCAAATCACGAAACGAGTTCCGTCATCTTAATTATATGTTTTTTGTAACGGAATCACAATCATTTTTTTGATGTAAGATACCAACTTTAGTTATAAATACGCCAATTAGATCTAGCTTGGAGATATAATGTGGTATTCTCTTTGACAATGAGTGGTTCCGTATGTAATTCTTAAACTCTTTATTCCCCTGTTCATAATGCCCTGTCGCATCCATAAAGGTAATGAAGCGAAAGAGGTATGTAGGAATCGTAGTAATTGGCGTTGGAATCTAGTAGAAAAATAAATAACATAACATCACGCCTTTTACTACGAAAGGGTAGAAGGTGCAGAAGCACTTAATGCCACTGTACAATGTAACACCCACTTTTCACTATTTATGTTATGAGTCCCATGCAATAGGGGGTGAGCCTATTGCCATACCGGGTACAATTCCAAACTCCATGCCCTTAAAAATACCCAGTGTGACTTTGCCCGATACGGGAATCGAACCCGAGACCCCTTACCCGACAGTGGCACTTGCGACCACTCGGCCAACGAGGTAGTCAAAAATAAATAACTCGATTATTATTAAAAGTAAAAGTTTAAGAAAACATATATCAAAGAGTTTCACAAAATACTCGGACGGAACCCAACAGCTAGTTACAAACGAATCGAAACAAAAGAAAATGACATAAGCGTATTGTCTAGCGGGTGGACCTGCGCACACGCCGGGCTTATTGTGCGGAACGGGGGCACGCACACTCATACACAACGTGTGTGTATGTGTGGTAAATCTGTGTTGGAGGGGTTAATACTCGCTGTTATTAAAGGATGGAAGGCGATGAGATTATGAAGTTACCTATAGTTGGTTTGCTCGTGGTTTCGATTATAATTGTCACTGCTTTTTTGCCAATTACAGTGATATACTTACATACATACATACATAACTTCACGCCTGTCTCCCATGGGGGTAGGCAGAGACTAAGAAACGCCAATTACTAGACAGAAAGCGGGCTGATATAGTTATCAGTGTCATCTTCTTCTTGTTCTTATCCTTAAAGTTTATTATGTTTTAAATAGGTAATATGCTCGATTTTCAGGTTCTAGTGAGAAAATCAAACATTAGACACACACATGCCAGAAGCTTTGAACATTTGATCATTCTATTCTATATTAAAAACTGTCTAATGTCAATTTCATTCTATAATAAAAAACTAACTGATGACTAAAACATCGGCCCCAAGACTTAACCTGGTGCAAATGTGATTTATAGATAGCAAAATTTAAACCATACAAACGATTCAGTGATTATCCTTATAAATAGATAAAGTCGCGTCAAATATACAGTACCTAGTTAAAGGAAACCAAAGAGGCTGTTGCTTAAATAAAAAAAATACGCACAACTGTGTAAAAAGGTTGGATGCTTTCAACCGGCCTATCTGGAAGTCATTGGGAGGGGCCTGTGTTAAGCAGTGGACGTCCTATGGCTGATATGATGATGATGATTATGATAAAGGGAATCCTTCCACTATACAAGGTGTTGTTTTAAAGCCGAGTCATTTTCTAGGAGGTAACTCGGCTATCGATTCTGAGTCCGAATCAATAAAAAAAATGTAGCTAAATATTTTTCATTTTTCTGTAAATTAGGGAAATCCGTAAGTGCGAATTTCACGCCGCCGTCTTGTAACTAGCTTTATAACGTCGCTCAACACTCACAAACTCAAATACTTAATTGATATTATTCCTAATTCCATAAAACTCCAATAAGAAACATTGCTGTCGCTTATTCTGAAATACTGTTAAACTTAAACGATTTACTATAGCCATATTTTTAACTATTGGCCCAAAACTTTTTTTTTACTTTGAACCTTTATGACTTCTGTGACATGCCCTCGAGAAATGACACGGTTTCAAAACTACACCTTGTAGAATAATATGCTCCCACTCACCTCGACAGTATCTTGGAGACACATCCATGTGACACCCGCAGCTGCCGGCTGATGTCACAGGGCCGCACTCCTGAGTGAGCCAGCTCCACTATTCTCTGCCGCACCACGTCTGGAAGCGGTCGACCGTTCACAAATACTCCACCTAGTTGATTTACTCCGCCGTGACCTGGTGGCGAAAAACATTTGGTTATTCCTTGTGGCAATGTTAAATGTAGATGATACGAGGGTTTTGAATACAGAAGAATTGCAGAAAGCTGATAAAATATATAAATATCATATAGTTTTTTTTAAGGTGGGAAAATCATAAATTGACTTCTCCCGCCTGGGCGAGACGGGAGGGAGTGTCAGACTCTTACTGACTAAAAACCACCCCGTTCCTTCTCCTGCACTTCGAGCTGGAGCAACGGTAACCCGTTTGGTTCTCCGCAGCTCCGTATCGAAAATATTATATAGTAACGTTAAGATAAATGTCGTGGTGGCTCGAAGGCTTCTCAGGCATGAGGGTTTGAAACCTACTAATTACTTTTTCTGAGTTATATGTACTCTCTAAGGTTATCTAGACACGAATGGCAAATGGTGAAGGAAAACATCCTGAGGAAACCTGGCCTTATAATTTCTAATTATAAGTTTGTAATCGCCTAACCGGATTGAGCCAGGCGTGGTGATTAATACTCAAACCTTCTCCGTGGGAGAAGAGGCTTTTGCTCAGCAGTAGGCACTTATAGGCTTTTGATGATGATGAATAACGTTAAGTCTTCAAAGGTAGAATAAGAATTTAAGGCTGAATCTACAGCATGAAATATTTAAGCAAATATGTGTCACATCAATTCCCATATAAACACTCGTTCATTAAAAAATTCACGATACTTTGACATAAACATCTTAATATAATTTCCAACTACAATTTGCAATACGATTGAAACAATTAAATGTTAAAAATAAACAAAATAATTTGATCAGAAGGACACACATGCTACAGCATCATTAAATCTAAATATTTCACTGACTCCTTTTTTTTAAAGGGACAAGCCTGTCACAACTTCCCAAAATCGCTGCAACTCCTGTAAGCCATGATCTACAGAAGATACAACCATGAAAACACCGGAGCACTGAAGTCCGGCACGTCCCAGGGACATGAGTAACTGTCTTGGTTCCCGCAACGAAGTGAATCAGAAGATATTATAAGAGGAGAAGAAATACTACACTGACTGCGTACATTAAACCAAACTGCAATTTCGCTTACAGAAACAACGAAACGCTACCCAAACTGCTACAAGTATCAAAAACATGAGCCAACCTGCAAGGCGTTCACTGTATCAAATATCCGTATTTTGGCTTATACAACGTACCGTCAAATATCCGATACAATGGTGTACATTATTGATGTAGCTCTCCCGGCCGTGAACCGGGTATCGACTAGCTAGCCGGGCGTACCCGGGTGTAACCGGGTGGGACCGGACCGATCGATGGTCGCGGCTCACTGATGTGATGTAACCATTTCATGCTTAGTCAAGTTGGGTGGAATGGTTACTTGGAGTTGGTAAGATGACTAGAAGTTCTTGAATTTGGATGAATTGAGATTTAAGAATCGTAGTTTTAATAACTTTGTATTCATTGACAAACTCATATGGTGTAAAAATAACCATCATCTGTACAACTGCTTGTAAGAGACGCTGCGTTAATCCTATAAACAGCGATGGGTATAAGCAGGACAAATAAAGTTTCGTCACTCGATAGTACTCCTTGGTCAAGTATTCACAACTAAGGTAAGCAAAATGTTTCTCGGGTTCATTTCCCTATGGATTGTGTATGTTTATTAGGTTATTTAATTTGGTTATAACCTTTATAATGAGTAAGAAATTTTGCTACTATTTACTGTACCTCAACTACATACATACATAAGTACATATCCTCACGCCTGTCTTCCATGGGTGTAGGCAGAGAGTTTATGTAAGTATAATCACAACTACAATGCTACAAAAACTATCAATTAAAATTGACTAAATTGTAAACCTATTTCGGTTCTTTTCTTTGAACAAAACAGCCCTAAATATGACATAGTCTTTGTCCAAAGTACCGACTCTTTTATGTACCCTCGTCATATACAAAGCTCTAACTACAAAAAAAATAAAAACAATCAACCAAAAATACCCGGTTAAACAATATTCTACCAACTATACGCAACTTCTTCTAAAACAAGGCTGTACTAGCATCCCTTCTCATCTTGCGTTACACTTTCACGGCGAGGACCCGGGTGGGGTGGGCACGAGGCGTGACGATCGATCCGGCACGCCCCGCGCTCGATACACGGGTATACTCGGCTTTACCGGCTGTTTGTTTGTTATTGGGATTATAGTGATAACGTTTGAGATCATTTTTTGATGATTTCTTTATTAGAAGAAGGTTTTTTTCAACACTTTATAGATGAATTGTAACTTTCGTGAGACATACTAAATAAATTATGATGCATGCTTGCAACTAGCATAGCTCGAAATTAGTCGAATTCCTCGTCAAATTATTACGTGACTAAGCCGAAAACAACTTACTTTATAGATGAACTAAAAATCGCGAGTTACTCACGTAAAAATACTGAGACAGAGGGAGCCCTCTGTAGTTCGAAACTATTAGAGTTTTTCTCAGTATTTTCACGTGAGTAACCCGCGATTTTTAGTTAATTTAGTATGTCTCACGATAGTTATTATAAAAGCTATGTGAATAGTCTGCCTATAAGTAGTGGATATGCTACAGAGTTCTTTTTTTCGTTTTATGGTAGCTAAACCAATAGTGGATAGTGTTTCCGATTCAGCTAGATTCCGAAATAGCTGTTCAAAGCCTGTCTTATTTTATACTATAGCAAGTTCTGTATGGTTTTTATAAAACAGGCTAGCTAAAAAGGATTGAGGTACAAATGGCTATCAGCGATGTTAGCATTTTTACAGATAGCCAAGGACTTTGTATTCGTTTTTAAAAAACTCATACATACTTTGTCTAACGAGATAAACAAACCCCAGAACTTTAGTGAGCGCCTCAAAGAGCCATCAGACCACCACAGATAGGGCCCAATAGGAATGATGCCGATTCGAAGCCGCGGCAATCCTAACGGGTTACCGGGGCTCCGGCTCGAAGTGCAGGAGTAGGAACGGGGTGGTTTTTAGTCATTAAGAGTCTGACACTTCCTCCCGTCTCACCCAGGTGGGAGAAGCCATTAGATATTCCCCCTTAATTTGTGATAGCCTTAATTCCTAATCTCAATGTTCCTAAAAAGGGTATAAAATCCTTCTATTACTAAACACATGTATAATATAACGCCGAACTTTACAACGGTACAAACACAACTGTTTTTGTAAATAATAAATATAGCTCAGACGCGAACAGTTGCCAAAACCCAGTTATTTATCGTTTATACCCATTTGATAGTAATTCACTTAATATTACCAACATTGTGTCGTTTTGTTTGTCTAGCTGTAAATGTGGTTACTTGTGGCGAGGGTCCAGGTTCGATATCAGAGTTAGATTAAGCTATGAAGTGTCTGAACTAAAATGTATGCGAGACACAATGTGTTTTATATTGTGTATCATATGTTAAAAAAGAAGTTAAGTATGTTAAAAAAGAAGAAAAAGAAGAAGAGTTAAATAGAAGAAGCTTGTCAAAGACTTCATTCAGGCGTTTCTAAATGGACATGGCCTTTAGCTATGAAGACTCCGAAGAAGATCAGCTAGGTAAAAATTTCATGAAATTATGGGTCCGAAACTAAGTCTGGTGTACGTGGGAAAAGTTTGCATAGCATAGGTAACAATGATGTTAACTTCATTTATGTTATAACTTTCGTAAGACATACTCAATTATTATTATTCACGGCAGAGGGCGCGCTGGGCCCGCACCGCAAACTCAAGTAGCCAGTAGCAGCGCGATAGTCGTGGCGTCGCGGGTCGCGGAATGCTGCTCATAAATATGAGCCTCTAGCATGGCTTGAAACTAGTCGAGTTCCTTGTCAAATGAGTAATCCGAAACACATAATAATTTATCGAGATTAACTTCATAATTGTAATCATTAATTAGTTTAATTATAAACAAAGCATTTATAAATATTTTCAATCGAGTATTTTTGCCTTAATTAATTATTATTATCATCAAGGATCGTCATTTCTTGTGAAGAAAAGCAGTTTTCACAAGGTTTATAAGAGGCATGTTGAAGCTCAATAAGGTTTCTAGTTTAGGTGGTAAATGTAATAGGGGACAAGATGGCTGCTCGGAAGCTGGGGAGCCGACGGTACAGACAGACTGTAAAGTTAACCGTGTATAAATTAATAATACTATGAAGGTGCTACAATTCAGCAAAATTATTTAGTTGGCTATGGTCGTGGTGGCCCGGAGGTTTAAGACGCCCCCTTCTCATGTATGACGATACGGGTTCGAAACCTACCAACGGCAAGTACAAATGTGACTTTTTCCGAGTTATATGTATATATTTTCTAAGATTATTTAGACACCACTGACAAACGGGCAAGGAAAACATCGTGCGGAAACCTGGGTTTATAATTTCTAATTATAAGTTTGTAATCGCCAACCCGCATTGAGCAAGCGTGGTGATTAATGCTTAAACCTTCTCCGTGTGAGAAGAGGCCTTTGGTCAGCAGTGGCTACATACCTATAGGGTGCTCATGTGGTACGAGAATCAAGTCTAAAATATCTAGTTTAACAGTGGGTCTTTTTTTATGGTATAAGAGGCAAACGAGCAGACGGATCACCTGATGATAAGCGATCAGCGCCGCCCATGGTCACCCGCAACACCAGAGGAGTGCCAGGTGTGTTGCCGGCCTTTTAAAAAGGAATACGCTCTTTTGTTGAAGGTTTGTTTGTTTCCTACAACAATTTCTTTTACACTCATTAAAACACATAAACATAACATCACGCCTTTTATCCCCGAAGGGGTAGGCAGAGGTGCACATTATGCCACTGTACAATGTAACACCCACTTTTCACTATTTATGTTATGAGTCCCATGGAATAGGGGGTGAGCCTATTGCCATATACCGGGCACAATTCCAGACTCCGTGCTACTACTGAGAATTTTTTAAAAACCCAGTAATACTTTGCCCGACCCGGGAATCGAACCCGAGACCCCTTGCCCGGCAGTCGCACTTGCGACCACTCGGCCAACAAGA